ACAGGCCTACTCGACTCGAGGAGGACAGTGGGGCCGGCAATAGGGATGTGAATGTAATGATTGATTCGCCGCACAAACACTTGTTATCGGAATCTAATTCTAGGAAATCTATTCTGAAAGCCATTCCCAACGATATACCCAAAGTCAATACATTGAGTCCGTCAAAAAGCACATACATATCGGCCGACCAGATATACCCGGATCACTGCGACGACATCGACAGCCCGGTCGACGATAGGCTGAACGAGTCATTCGAGGAGCGTATGGATCAGCGCTTCTCTCACTCGTATTCAGCGGGCGATGACATGAAGAAAGGGATTCTGAGGAATAGGGGAATGAAGGGTGCGATCAGTGAACTTGATTTGAATCAAACGAAACTGAGTTCGTCGCCCACGAAGACGTCGAAGAGTTTTCTGCAACGGTTTAAGTCTGCGTTCAACCGGGCCTTCGCCACCGGCGATAAGAGTCTCAGCAAAAGTGTATTGTCTGTCAATACGGTTCACAATAGTAGGAGTTTATCGCAAACCGATCTCAGAATTAATTGCAACCCTAAGGCCAGTCGACTTAATATCGCACAGTTAAGCGGTGGTGGTGGCGCTCGTATAGACAGGTCGCCCTCATTCGTCAAGAATATTAGGACCCGAATCAGTCTCCGGCGCTCTCATAAAGTGAATTCACCCGAAAAGCGCGAAAAGTATGTATTTTTGGTGTATTTGTGTAATGAAAACAATGAACTTATTTGTGATTTTATTTTGTGTCGAAAGGATGAGCCGCTCCTATAGTCATAAAAGTCTGTCGTTAGACAATAGCATGAAAAGCAAATCACTGAAACAGTTGAATGTGGACCTGGATTGCGGGGACAGGATTTGGGGCGAACTCATCAAATTGAATGCCGACTCATCGCAAGTGATTCAGATCCGGCGCCAAAAGGGCCAGGCGTTCGGCTTTTTCGTGGCCCGCGGGACAGTCAACAACATTAAGGGTTAGTGTTTGGCATTGGATTCGCTTTTGGATGTTGAAGTGTTTTGCGATTTTATAGCTTTTTATTAACTTTTTTTGTGTGTTTTTAGGAGTTTTCGTGTCGCGTATGAAAGACGAAGAGACGCAGAAGTGTTTGACAGGAGTGCTAGAGATCGGCGATGAGATACTGGCCATCGATGGCGAGTCAGTTAAAGAGGCGAATATCATGCGAGTGAACCAACTCATCGCCAATAAGGATACCATTCGGCTGACGATTATTCCGTATATGAATAATAAATACCTTTAAAGGAATTGCTATTATTTCACACCATTTTCTACTATATTTTTGTATTTCATATTATTTTTTGAATTCTATTTACAAAATAAAGTTTATGTCATTTACCGAAGAATTACTACATTTTAAATGATTTAATAAAATTAAATTAAAATATTTTTCGCTTAATTGTGGAGGTATTGTATAAACATATGTTTTATTTGATAAAAAATCAATAATTTTTATTATAAATTTTAATTATTATAGTTTCTAATGAATTATCAGAATATTCTGAATGTATCCATAATTCAGTGCATTTTACATACAATCATAAAAACTAATGTTTTATTTGATAAAAAATCAATAATTTTTATTATAAATTTTAATTATTATAGTTTCTAATGAATTATCAGAATATTCTGAATGTATCCATAATTCAGTGCATTTTACATACAATCATAAAAACTAATATTTTTATAGTATTTTTCATTAAATGTCTTAAAATCTTTGCCATTCTTCTAACGTGAAACTAATTATCACAAGAATTTCGATGAGTTTATAAGAGTTTTAAGCAAACAATTGGTCCGATTCTGCGATGCCTTTCAAAAGTCATTCAACGCCTGAAGTTTTGAAGCGATCGCTAAAATGTTTACGTATTGTGTGAACAGCCCTTAACACCGAAACCACAACATTGAACGCAAACACTGTTTCACTGTTTACTGCAAAACACACACTAATTGTTGCGTTAATTGTGATTACAATCAGTTTCTGTGTCTCAATACTAATCCCAATCAACACTTGAATACTGTTCACAAACCACTGAATGAGCCATAAATGGATTGCTATTGAAATGGATTTGTTTGCAAACACTTTGTGACCGAAAGCCGTCTTTCAAACCGATGTTTAGTTTATTATTAAATTAAATCCCAAAAGAAATTTAGTTTTGATCCGCA